ATGACTGAGATTAACTTTTTGATGACTCTGAGAATAACTTTGAGGATGCGAGTAAATTTTTAAGTGTTTGAGAGTGCCTTTTGATATCTCGAAGAGTGCCCTTGAAGTCTTAAAGGATGTCTTTGATGTCTCGAAGGATGTCTTAGGGTGTAACTTTGGTGTCTTTGAGTAAGTCCTTGATGTATTGAAGAGTGTCTTTTGTTATCTCGAAGAGTAACTTTGATGTTACGGAGAGCACCTTTGACTATTTTTCTTACTTAATGACATGTAATTTTTACGAAAGTGCTGAAAAAGTTACATTTGACTATTTTAGTTGAGGAAAGACAAGAAAAAAATATGACGACAGTGACTATTTTAGTGCTCCACAAAGTATAAATGTCAGTTAAGAACGACGATGATAGATATCTTTGACTATATTTTCTTACTTGACGATGGATAAAGTTAGTTATGAACAGTGCTGAAAAGATTCCTTTGACAATTTTTAGCTAAGCGAAAGGTTGTTTTAGTTAAGAACGGTGTTGAATGAGATTAATCCTGACTATTTTTCAGATGAGAGAAGTGATATTTCAGTTAAGAAATGACAAGGAAACATGATGAAGTAACTATTTTTAGTTGACCGATGAATACTTTTAGTTGAGCAAAAGACAAAACATGATGAACATGACTTTTCTGATGATTGGCGGATAATTTTTAGATAAGAAATGACAATGAAACATGAAGAACACGGTTATTTTCTGTTGACTATGGATAAGTTTAGTTGAAAAATGACGAAAGTGACTATGTTTTAGTTGATTGGCGAAAGATTTTAGTTAAGAAGTTACGAGAAAGGTTTGTCTTTGTAAATTTGGAACTGAATAAAGTGTAGATTTGTTTAAGAACATGGTTGGTAGAACTATTAAGTTGACTACGAGAATTACTTTGACATAGTTTTGCAAATAAAAACTTGGTGACTAAAATTGTTGAGGGAACTGTAATGCAGTATAATATTATTTGACAAAGAACTAGTTAGTGAATGGAAGAAACAAAGAACATAAAAAATTGAGGTTAAGTAGGGGAATGAACACAGTGAACATATGGTGAACACAGAAAACATGTAAGAAAAAGTTGATGAATAGAGTGATCATGCAGGGAATAAGAACTTATAGAGAATATGAAGACATGATAAGGAACATAGGGAATACAAAGAATGAACACTGAACATGTGAAGAACAAGCTAAGAACATTGAGAACATGAATATTGAGTATAAAAGTTATACAGAGAACATATGATGTACATGAAAAACATGACAAAGAACATAGTGAATATACGGGGAAAACGGCAGAAAAAATTTGAACTGAGCATGCTGTGAACATTTGTAGAACATGGAATGAACACAGAAAACATGGAAAAATGTGAAGAACACAGCTGAATATAGAGAAATATGCAAATACAGGGGGACAAGAGCTGGAGCTCAGTAACTGACTTGATCTTATTTACTACGTCTGAAATATGACTGTTTAAAATTTCAGGGGGATTGGACTGCTAGTAGCGAAAATGTGGTCTCTGTCAAATTTGGGTCTTTAATTGGACTCTGATTAATTTCGATCATGAACTGGACTCTGATGAAATTTGAGCTTAAAACTGTCTCTGACTAATTTTGCTCTCAAAGTAGACTCTGACGAATTTTGCTAGAAAACTGGACTCTGATGAATTTCGATCAAGAACTGGACTCTGATGAATTTTCACGGATTACAGGACACTGATGAAATTTGAGCTTAAAACTGTCTCTGACTAATTTTGCTCTCAAAGTAGACTCTGGTGAATTTCTGTTGATAATTGGACTCTGATGAAATTTGAGCTTAAAACTGTCTCTGACTAATTTTGCTCTCAAAGTAGACTCTGGCGAATTTCTGTTGATAATTGGACTCTGATGAAATATGAGCTTAAAACTGTCTCTGACTAATTTGCTCTCAAAGTAGACTCTGACGAATTTTGCTAGAAAACTGGACTCTGATGAATTTCGATCAAGAACTGGACTCTGATGAATTTTCACGTAGATTACAGGACACTGATGAAATTTGAGCTTAAAACTGTCTCTGACTGAATTTTGCTCTCAAAGTAGACTCTGGTGAATTTCTGTTGATAATTGGACTCTGATGAAATTTGAGCTTAAAACTGTCTCTGACTAATTTTGCTCTCAAAGTAGACTCTGGCGAATTTCTGTTGATAATTGGACTCTGATGAAATATGAGCTTAAAACTGTCTCTGACGAATTTTGCTCTCTAAGTAGACTCTGGTGAATTTCTGTTGATAATTGGACTCTGATGAAATTTGAGCTTAAAACTGTCTCTGACTAATTTTGCTCTCAAAGTAGACTCTGGCGAATTTCTGTTGATAATTGGACTCTGATGAAATATGAGCTTAAAACTGTCTCTGACGAATTTTGCTCTCAAAGTAGACTCTGGCGAATTTCTGTTGATAATTGGACTCTGATGAAATATGAGCTTAAAACTGTCTCTGACGAATTTTGCTCTCAAAGTAGACTCTGGCGAAAATTGGGTATAAAATGGACTCTGTCAAATTTTCGCAGATTACAGGACTCTGATGAAATATGAGCTTAAAACTGTCTCTGACGAATTTTGGTCTTTACAGGTGAAATAGCCGTAAATGGATATAAAACTAAATGTTATGGATAAGTTGTCTGTTTTCCTTAACAAAACATTTTCTCTGAAAATGGTCCTTTTACAAATTCGGTCATAAACATATAAATAAACTTCTATGATTATTTGAAACTCTGAAAATAGCTGTAAGGAAATAGGAGGAGAGAGAGAGAGAGGGACGGTCCAGATATTATTATTATGGAGAAGATAAGATACGATTACCGAGGTGACCTGAAGGCCGTGTCTGGCTGACGTCTAAAGTAAACACAGGTGAGGCGACAGATTGCGAGGTAAGGGGGGAGGGAGGGGGGTGAGGTACAAGTGGGGGATGCAGGGTGAGGTACGAGCGGGAGATTATGGGGGACGGCTGTGAAATGATTCAGATATACTAGTTTCTAAGTAAGAATTCAACTTAAACATATACAGCCTAAATATCTGTTTTATTATGGGTAGGAACTCTGAAAAAAATTCTCCCATAAGAACTTTTTAACAAACTCGTATGACATTATTTACATCATAAGAAACCTTAACAAACTTCTAAAATCTCAATAATTATTTTCCTCATAAGAATTCCTTAATTCCAAATCTGTGACTCCCCAAATTTGCCTGAAAACCCTGACATGCTACACGTGATATTTGCCCAAAACAAAATATCACCTGTGGACTGTACAGTCCACAGGGGTCCTCTCGCCAAAAAAAAAAATATCACCTGTGGACTGTACAGTCCACAGGGGTCCTCTCGCCAAAAAAAAATATCACCTGTGGACTGTACAGTCCACAGGGGTCCTCTCGCCAAAAAAAAATATCACCTGTGGCTCTTCCTCCCTACTACTGTGTATTTGTGTGTATGGGAGGGGGTGTGGGTGTGTGAGTGTATGGGAGGGGGTTGTGTGTGTGTGTGTGAGTGTGTATGGGAGGGGGCTGTGTGTGTGTGTGTGAGTGTGTATGGGAGGGGGTTTGTGTGTGTGTGTGTGAGTGTGTATGGGAGGGGGTTGTGTACTCACCTATTTGTACTCACCTATTTGTGCTTGCGGGGGTTGAGCTTTGGCTCTTTGGTCCCGCCTCTCAACTGTCAATCAACTGGTGTACAGATTCCTGAGCCTACTGGGCTCTATCATATCTACATTTAAAACTGTGTATGGAGTCAGCCTCCACCACATCACTGCCTAATGCATTCCATCCGTTAACTACTCTGACACTGAAAAAGTTCCTTCTAACGTCTCTGTGGCTCATGTGAGTACTCAGTTTCCACCTGTGTCCCCTTGTTCGCGTCCCACCAGTGTTGAATAGTTTATCCTTGTTTACCCGGTCGATTCCTCTGAGGATTTTGTAGGTTGTGATCATGTCTCCCCTTACTCTTTTGTCTTCCAGTGTCGTAAGGTGCATTTCCCGCAGCCTATCCTCGTAACACATGCCTCTTAGTTCTGGGACTAGTCTAGTGGCATACCTTTGGACTTTTTCCAGCTTCGTCTTGTGCTTGACAAGGTACGGGCTCCATGCTGGGGCCGCATACTCCAGGATTGGTCTTACATATGTGGTGTACAAGATTCTGAATGATTCCTTACACAGGTTCCTGAACGCGTGAGTGTGAGTGTGAGTGTGAGTGTGTGAGTGGCTCCTGGAGGCATAGTGGGGTAATACTTTATATAATAGATGTTAGACAATGTTGTGAGTATTCATTAATATTTCAAAGCCTACGGGGAAAATTTCCGTCTATTGAACTTGCATGACTGGCAGCGTCATTAGTGGAGTTTCCAAGTAACTATTCTTTAAAGGTTATTTTCCCTAGCTACATACAATTTAGAATTTGGTCCCATCAATTAACTTCATTCTTAAAGATATAAGAGGAAATGACACCATTTGTGGATACAAAATCCCTAGAGTATGGAGAATGGTAAAGTTTGGACACTTACTAATAATGCTGATATACTGTTATTTCTCAGTTGCTTATGTTCTTCTTGGTCTGGCAAACAATTTCCATTAATTGGAAATGTTAATTATTAACTGCTCCATTAAATGTGCATGAGTTAAGCGTGCATGGCCAATATGTAACCTAGCCAGAGCTGTTTCCCACTGCCTATTAGTGGCAATTGGAAAGCCAGGGGGATTAGGCTACATTTCTGAGTGCACCTGTAACCCCAGACCAATGGTCGTGGATTGACGAATAAATGGGTAGAAATCTGATGTAGAAATGGGTAGAAAGCTTCAATACAACCCTCCAGACTTCTTGTGACTTGAGTGGAATCCCAGGTTGTACGAGTTATACGATGGAGCGCTCGGTATGAGTTGAACACTATTGTCAAGGGGAATGTTGAGCGTGACAATGAGTGAAGGTGAGTGAAGGTGAGTGTGTGACACAGGGAAGTGAAGCTGAGGAACGACACCGTCAACAAGCTGGCAGTGATCGAGAAGACGCTGCTGGAGGAGAACAAGCGGCGGGCGGCCAAGGAGAAGGAGCTCCAGGACTCCCTCGAGGCGCAGCTGCGCGAGCACAAGATGTACGGGGACGAGGGCGCCGAGGCCCTCAAGAAGCACGTTGATGTGAGTACTTACCAAGTGCTACTTAACTATAAGTGTCTAATGTTTAATCTGGGCTTAAAATTGTGGACGGAGGTGGCTTCAAGAGCTTCTACTTTCAATCCATTTCCATTGCTGACCACACACACCGGGGTATGAGTATTTCCTACTTTCTCCCAATATAATATTTCATCTCAAAGTCTACCAATGCAGATCTACCTGTGTGATGCCCCTCTTCACAGCATGTTGTCCTATGTACTGTCAAACTAACTCTATATCCAACAGCAACATTACATACGGGGAACGTCTTTGTAAAATTTCTTAACTAAAATTTATCTTTATTCAATAACATTCTATAACTTTTAGTATCTTAACTAACTTTATGTAGTATCCACACTTATTAACACTTCCTTTCTGTAACTTTATGCATCATATGTCGTTACTCTTTAATAAAACTGTACTAAGATAACTTCACTAAAACTTAACTATCAATAAGTACTCTCAACTTCACTAAGACATAACTATCAATATGTACTCTCAACTCCACTAAGACATAACTATCACTATGTACTCTCAACTCCACTAAGACATAACTATCACTATGTACTCTCAACTTCACTAAGACATAACTATCACTATGTACTCTCAACTTCACTAAGACATAACTATCACTATGTACTCTCAACTTCACTAAGACATAACTATCACTATGTACTCTCAACTCCACTAAGACATAACTATCACTATGTACTCTCAACTCCACTAAGACATAACTATCACTATGTACTCTCAACTTCACTAAGACATAACTATCAATATGTACTCTCAACTTCACTAAGACATAACTATCAATATGTACTCTCAACTTCACTAAGACATAACTATCAATATGTACTCTCAACTTCACTAAGACATAACTATCAATATGTACTCTCAACTTCACTAAGACATAACTATCAATATGTACTCTCAACTTCACTAAGACATAACTATCAATATGTACTCTCAACTTCACTAAGACATAACTATCAATATGTACTCTCAACTCCACTTAGACATAACTATCAATATGTACTCTCAACTCCACTAAGACATAACTATCAATATGTACTCTCAACTTCACTAAGACATAACTATCAATATGTACTCTCAACTTCACTAAGACATAACTATCAATATGTACTCTCAACTTCACTAAGACATAACTATCAATATGTACTCTCAACTTCACTAAGACATAACTATCAATATGTACTCTCAACTTCACTAAGACATAACTATCAATATGTACTCTCAACTTTACTAAGACATAACTATCAATATGTACTCTCAACTTCACTAAGACATAACTATCAATATGTACTCTCAACTTCACTAAGACATAACTATCAATATGTACTCTCAACTTCACTAAGACATAACTATCAATATGTACTCTCAACTCCACTAAGACATAACTATCAATATGTACTCTCAACTCCACTAAGACATAACTATCAATATGTACTCTCAACTTCACTAAGACATAACTATCAATATGTACTCTCAACTTCACTAAGACATAACTATCAATATGTACTCTCAACTTCACTAAGACATAACTATCAATATGTACTCTCAACTTCACTAAGACATAACTATCAATATGTACTCTCAACTTCACTAAGACATAACTATCAATATGTACTCTCAACTTCACTAAGACATAACTATCAATATGTACTCTCAACTTCACTAAGACATAACTATCAATATGTACTCTCAACTCCACTAAGACATAACTATCAATATGTACTCTCAACTCCACTAAGACATAACTATCAATATGTACTCTCAACTTCACTAAGACATAACTATCAATATGTACTCTCAACTTCACTAAGACATAACTATCAATATGTACTCTCAACTTCACTAAGACATAACTATCAATATGTACTCTCAACTTCACTAAGACATAACTATCAATATGTACTCTCAACTTCACTAAGACATAACTATCAATATGTACTCTCAACTTCACTAAGACATAACTATCAATATGTACTCTCAACTTCACTAAGACATAACTATCAATATGTACTCTCAACTTCACTAAGACATAACTATCAATATGTACTCTCAACTTCACTAAGACATAACTATCAATATGTACTCTCAACTTCACTAAGACATAACTATCAATATGTACTCTCAACTTCACTAAGACATAACTATCAATATGTACTCTCAACTTCACTAAGACATAACTATCAATATGTACTCTCAACTTCACTAAGACATAACTATCACTATGTACTCTCAACTTCACTAAGACATAACTATCACTATGAACTCTCAACTTCACTAAGACATAACTATCACTATGAACTCTCAACTTCACTAAGACATAACTATCACTATGTACTCTCAACTCCACTAAGACATAACTATCAATATGTACTCTCAACTTCACTAAGACATAACTATCACTATGTACTCTCAACTTCACTAAGACATAACTATCACTATGAACTCTCAACTTCACTAAGACATAACTATCACTATGTACTCTCAACTCCACTAAGACATAACTATCAATATGTACTCTCAACTTCACTAAGACATAACTATCACTATGTACTCTCAACTTCACTAAGGCAAAGCTTCTATAACATCATCTTTAGGCTTATATCTCTCTCTGTAAGATAGTTTGTTGTTAACAACTTCACAGTAATCTTAAGTCAACATTTATTAAGATAACATATATGAAGAAATATGTAACTTCTTTATGTAGTAGTACAAAATTTATGTATCTTTTTGTATCGTAAAAAAAAAAATTGTATAAAATATTTTTTTCGGTAACAAACATTTTAAAACTTTTATAGCAACAAACTTTTTCCGTATCAAAACTTGTACTTTGTAAGAGAAAACTTTATTGATAAACAAAACATTCCGTACATGATAACAATCTTCATGATCTCTGAACACACAATACAAGTCGAGCATTTAGTGAAAACAATCTATATTGTACTTCAGTTCAATAACTTGTAGTGTGTCTCGCTCACAATTTGTACCAAACTGCATCTCAAAGGCAAACATTTTCGAGTTTTAAAGTCCTCCATTGGGTTCAATCCAGAGAACATCTAGGTATGTCAATATGTTGACATACCAATATGTTTTTGCTAAAGAGCAGTTTCATCTATCATCTCAACACACCCTTGAGGTTATATTCAGGTTATCTTGAGATGATTTCGGGGCTTAGCGTCCCCGCGGCCCTGTCCTCGACCAGGCCTTCTTTTTGTTACACACCCCCAGGAAGCAGCCCGTAGCAGCTGTCTAACTCCCAGGTACATATTTACTGCTAGGTGAACAGGTACATCAGGGGGAAAGAAACTTTGCTCATTTGTTTCCGCCTCCACCAGGGATCGAACCCGGAACCACAGGATTACGAATCCGAAGTGCTGTCCACTCAGCTCAACCTTCCTTTAATTTCCCCCTCAATGTCCAGACCGTTGTTGGCGGGATATTATATATCAGTGAGAAAATCCACAGCTGTGAAGAGCGTGCGTCTGGGAATACCCAGCACATAGAGCACGTAGGTTCGAATCCTCATCACGGCTTCTGTGGATTTTCCATCAAATCGTTTTGACTGTTAAGCAAAGAGATGGCCAGCCGGTACAGGTGTAACAGGACCTGGGTCTTCATAGACCCGGCTCAAGACGCCATCAATGTCAGTCTAAGAGGACAGTCTAGGCCTCCACTAGCACCTCACTCCATGCCATCCATCACCGCTCTCATCCACCGTCATCCACTTGTTCAGCATCCACCAGCATGACGTCACATTAAAGAGCAAATACACGTCGGTTGAGTAAGATGGTAAGGGGGTGTGTCATCCCCCACAGCAACACGGGGGGGGGGGTGACTAACACGGTCCTCCCCCCCCAACACAGGGGTGACAACACGGTCATCCCCCACAGCAACACGGGGGAGGGTGAGAGGGGTGACTAACACGGTCCCCCACAGCAACACTCCCCCCACAGCAACACGGGGGAGGGTGAGAGGGGTGACTAACACGGTCCTCCCCCCACAGCAACACGGGGGAAGGGTGAGAGGGGGGGGTGGGTGAGAGGGGTGACTAACACGGTCCTCCCCCCACAGCAACACGGGGGTGACTAACACGGTCCTCCCCCCACAGCAACACGGGGGTGGGTGAGAGGGGTGACTAACACGGTTCTCCCCCCACAGCAACACGGGGAGCTGACGAGAGGCAAGCTCGGGGAGATGAACAACAACGTCGGGATGCTTCAGGAACAGCTCAAGACGCACCGGCTGGAGCACCAGAAGGTCTTGGCGGCCGAGATCACCGAGAGACAGAACACCCACAAGGTCACTATGTACCTCACATTAACTTAGCACGAGGGCTTCATGTCTTCCAGCAGCACCGTGACATGCTTCCTCTAAACTTATTCCCTCACATTTCGTCTCAATGTCTGAACATTCTTATAGAGATGATGAAAATAATAATAATTTATAGGAGCACTAATCATTGCACACGAGATCTTGATTTTGTATTAAAATTGGTCTTCATTAGTTAGTATTCCACGTAATCAATTAGAAGGTGTTGATGTTGTTGTTGTTGTTGCAGGTGTTGGAGGGTAAGATTGATGACGTTGATGACCGGTCGAGGATGGGCATGGCGGAGCTGCAGGCGGCGCTGGGCAACATGGCCGCCAAGACCACCACACAACCCAAGCAGAAGGCTCCTCCACCACCTGATTATGACGTATGCTCCCTAACCATACTCAAGTTCCACTCTCAATTATTATTATTATTATTACTAGCTGTACCCGGCCACGCGTTGCTGTGGCTCAGCAATGCATGTGCGTTGCTGAGCCACAGCAACCTTCCCCTGTCTCCCAGTCCTCCCCACCATTCCCCCCTTCCCCTTGTCCTCCCGACCATCCCCCCACTCCCGTCCCCTCGTCCCCCACTTCCCACTCCCTCGTCTGATGCATTCCCAAATAATCTGATGTTCCCATCACTGAAATATAAGAAAAGGTTAAAAAAAATGAAATGAAAAATAAAAAAGTAAACTATCAAAATGAAAATAAATCGAAATTATGAAAATTCAATTTGTCAGGGCAATCGGGAACATTGAAATGGAATCGTAACATACTTAGTATAGCGTGTGCTGCTGTTACGTGCAACAGATATATATATACAAGAGTTGTAACATTCTTGTACTGCCACTAGTACGCGTAGCATTTTGGGCAAGTCCTTAATCCCATGTTCCCTGGAATACGACCCCGCAAAAAATCGTTTAACAACCAAGTACACATTTTACTGTTGAGTTAAACAGAGGCTACAATTAAGGAATTGCGCCCAGTAAATCCTTCCCAGCCAGGATACGAACCCATGACATAGTGCTCACGAAATGCCAGGAGAGCGTCTTAACCACTACACCATGGAGGCTGCCTAGATGGCACTGTTAAAAAAAAGCATGTTTTTACCTGTCACAGGGGTGGTGGCATCTATATAGTAGGTATATAAAAACACGCATGTTTTCGAATGGAACGTTGTGTCAATATTTCAAAGCAATTGGTAAAGAGATTTTGAAGATTTCCCTTACATGAAAAACACAGTTAAAAAAAAAACATGCTTTTTTTCGTCACAGACGTGATATCTATATAGTATGTACATAAAAACCTGCTCGGATGTGAATGGAATGTTGTGTGAAAATTTCAAAGCAATCAGTGAAGAACGTTCGGAGATTAGCGATTTTGAGCAAACGAACATTTACATTTTTATTTATACAGATTATTATTACTTTTAGCCATAGGGACCCTGGGAGTAGTACCTGCTTGAGGGACCCTGGGAGTAGTACCTGCTTGAGGGACCCTGGGAGTAGTACCTGCTTGAGGGACCCTGGGAGTAGTACCTGCTTGAGGAACCCTGGAAGTAGTACCTGCTTGAGGGACCCTGGGAGTAGTACCTGCTTGAGGGACCCTGGGAGTAGTACCTGCTTGAGGGACCCTGGGAGTAGTACCTGCTTGAGGGACCCTGGGAGTAGTACCTGCTTGAGGGACCCTGGGAGTAGTACCTGCTTGAGGAACCCTGGGAGTAGCACCTGCTTGAGGGACCCCTGGGAGTAGTACCTGCTTGAAGGACCCTGGGAGTAGCACCTGCTTGAGGGACCCTGGGAGAAGTACCTGCTTGAGGGACCCTGGGAGTAGTACCTGCTTGAGGAACCCTGGGAGTAGCACCTGCTTGAGGGACCCTGGGAGTAGTACCTGCTTGAAGGACCCTGGGAGTAGCACCTGCTTGAGGGACCCTGGGAGTAGTACCTGCTTGAGGAACCCTGGGAGTAGCACCTGCTTGAGGGACCCCTGGGAGTAGTACCTGCTTGAGGAACCCTGGGAGTAGCACCTGCTTGAGGGACCCTGGGAGTAGTACCTGCTTGAGGGACCCTGGGAGTAGTACCTGCTTGAGGGACCCTGGGAGTAGTACCTGCTTGAGGAACCCTGGGAGTAGCACCTGCTTGAGGGACCCTGGGAGTAGTACCTGCTTGAGGAACCCTGGGAGTAGCACCTGCTTGAGGGACCCCTGGGAGTAGTACCTGCTTGAAGGACCCTGGGAGTAGCACCTGCTTGAGGAACCCTGGGAGTAGCACCTGCTTGAGGGACCCTGGGAGTAGCACCTGCTTGAGGGACCCTGGGAGTAGTACCTGCTTGAGGAACCCTGGGAGTAGTACCTGCTTGAGGGACCCTGGGAGTAGTACCTGCTTGAGGAACCCTGGGAGTAGCACCTGCTTGAGGGACCCCTGGGAGTAGTACCTGCTTGAGGGACCCTGGGAGTAGCACCTGCTTGAGGAACCCTGGGAGTAGCACCTGCTTGAGGGACCCTGGGAGTAGCACCTGCTTGAGGGACCCTGGGAGTAGTACCTGCTTGAGGAACCCTGGGAGTAGTACCTGCTTGAGGGACCGTGGGAGTAGTACCTGCTTGAGGAACCCTGGGAGTAGCACCTGCTTGAGGGACCCTGGGAGTAGCACCTGCTTGAGGGACCCTGGGAGTAGTACCTGCTTGAGGAACCCTGGGAGTAGCACCTGCTTGAGGGACCCTGGGAGTAGTACCTGCTTGAGGGACCCTGGGAGTAGTACCTGCTTGAGGGACCCTGGGAGTAGTACCTGCTTGAGGGACCCCTGGGAGTAGTACCTGCTTGAGGGACCCCTGGGAGTAGTACCTGCTTGAGGGACCCCTGGGAGTAGTACCTGCTTGAGGGACCCTGGGAGTAGTACCTGCTTGAGGGACCCTGGGAGTAGTACCTGCTTGAGGGACCCTGGGAGTAGTACCTGCTTGAGGGACCTTGGGAGTAGTACCTGCTTGAGGGACCCTGGGAGTAGTACCTGCTTGAGGGACCCTGGGAGGTACCCTGGGAGTAGTACCTGCTTGAGGGACCCTGGGAGTAGTACCTGCTTGAGGGACCCTGGGAGTAGTACCTGCTTGAGGGACCCTGGGAGTAGTACCTGCTTGAGGGACCCTGGGAGTAGTACCTGCTTGAGGGACCCTGGGAGTAGTACCTGCTTGAGGGACCCTGGGAGTAGTACCTGCTTGAGGGACCCTGGGAGTAGTACCTGCTTGAGGGACCCTGGGAGTAGTACCTGCTTGAGGGACCCTGGGAGTAGTACCTGCTTGAGGGACCCTGGGAGTAGTACCTGCTTGAGGGACCCTGGGAGTAGTACCTGCTTGAGGGACCCTGGGAGTAGTACCTGCTTGAGGGACCCTGGGAGTAGTACCTGCTTGAGGGACCCTGGGAGTAGTACCTGCTTGAGGGACCCTGGGAGTAGTACCTGCTTGAGGGACCCTGGGAGTAGTACCTGCTTGAGGGACCCTGGGAGTAGTACCTGCTTGAGGGACCCTGGGAGTAGTACCTGCTTGAGGGACCCTGGGAGTAGTACCTGCTTGAGGGACCCTGGGAGTAGTACCTGCTTGAGGGACCCTGGGAGTAGTACCTGCTTAGTAGGGACCCTGGGAGTAGTACCTGCTTGAGGGACCCTGGGAGTAGTACCTGCTTGAGGGACCCTGGGAGTAGTACCTGCTTGAGGGACCCTGGGAGTAGTACCTGCTTGAGGGACCCTGAGTAGTACCTGCTTGAAGGACCCTGGGAGTAGTACCTGCTTGAGGGACCCTGGGAGTAGTACCTGCTTGAGGGACCCTGGGAGTAGTACCTGCTTGAGGGACCCTGGGAGTAGTGCCTGCTTGAGGGACCCTGGGAGTAGTACGTGCATGAGGGACCCTGGGAGTAGTACCTGCTTGAGGGACCCTGGGAGTAGCACCTGCTTGAGGGACCCTGGGAGTAGCACCTGCTTGAGGGACCCTGGGAGTAGCACCTGCTTGAGGGACCCTGGGAGTAGCACCTGCTGGAGGGACCCTGGGAGTAGTACCTACTTGAGGAACCCTGGGAGTAGCACCTGCTTGAGGGACCCCTGGGAGTAGTACCTACTTGAGGGACCCTGGGAGTAGTACCTGCTTGAGGGACCCCTGGGAGTAGTACCTGCTTGAGGGACCCTGGGAGTAGCACCTGCTTGAGGGACCCTGGGAGTAGCACCTGCTTGAGGGACCCCTGGGAGTAGTACCTACTTGAGGGACCCTGGGAGTAGTACCTGCTTGAGGGACCCTGGGAGTAGTACCTGCTTGAGGGACCCTGGGAGTAGTACCTGCTTGAGGGACCCTGGGAGTAGTACCTGCTTGAGGGACCCCTGGTAGTACTTGCTTGTGGGACCCTGGGAGTAGTACTTGCTTGAGGGACCCTGGGAGTAGTACCTGCTTGAGGGACCCTGTGAGTAGTACCTGCTTGAAGGACCCTGGGAGTAGTACCTGCTTGAGGGACCCTGGGAGTAGTACCTGCTTGAGGGACCCTGGGAGTAGTACCTGCTTGAGGGACCCTGGGAGTAGTACCTGCTTGAGGGACCCTGGGAGTAGTACCTGCTTGAGGGACCCCTGGGAGTAGTACCTGCTTGAGGGACCCTGGGAGTAGTACTTGCTTGAGGGACCCTGGGAGTAGTACCTGCTTGAGGGACCCTGGGAGTAGTACCTGCTTGAGGGGCCCTGGGAGTAGTACCTGCTTGAGGGACCCTGGGAGTAGTACCTGCTTGAGGACCCCTGGAAGTAGTACCTGCTTGAGGGACCCTGGGAGTAGTACCTGCTTGAGGGACCCTGGGAGTAGTGCCTGCTTGAGGGACCCTGGGAGTAGTACCTGCTTGAGGGGCCCTGGGAGTAGTACGTGCTTGAGGGACCCTGGGAGTAGTACCTGCTTGAGGGACCCTGGGAGTAGTACCTGCTTGAGGGACCCTGGGAGTAGTACCTGCTTGAGGGACCCTGGGAGTAGTACCTGCTTGAGGGACCCTGGGAGTAGTATCTGCTTGAGGGACCCCTGGGAGTAGTACCTGCTTGAGGGACCCTGGGAGTAGTACCTGCTTGAGGGACCCCTGGGAGTAGTACCTACTTGAGGGACCCTGGGAGTAGTACCTGCTTGAGGGACCCTGGGAGTAGTACCTGCTTGAGGGACCCTGGGAGTAGTACCTGCTTGAGGGACCCCTGGGAGTAGTACCTGCTTGAGGGACCCTGGGAGTAGTACCTGCTTGAGGGACCCTGGGAGAGAGTAGGCCCTCAAGAGTACATGCATGAGGGAAGTGAGAGTACGTGACCAGGTGGTGGGCCAACAGGCACAGCGGCTGCCGCCCATCAACACGGACGGCATCAAGGAGCAGATGGCCCGGGACGTGGCCCGCCTCGACTCCCGTCTGGCAGATGTGGAGACCAAGTTGGCTCAGCAGGACGACCGCTTCGACACCAAGATGCAGTCGGTGAGTACACCCATGTGTTGAGTCACTTGATGTTCGTGAGTACCCCAATAACTTGAGTCATGTCCAGTTAGTGAGTACCCCATAACGTGAATATCCTTATATTGGTGAGTATTATCATTACATGCTGTGGATGAACACACCTAGAACATAAGGATCAGTAGTGTAAGGTATGACTGAAGCCTCAGTAAAGTATGACTGAGGCTTGCAAATTTCCTTCTTTCATATGCAGGCTTCAGTCATACTAAAATTTCCGTGAATGGCATGATCAGTTTGCCTGAAAGTGAGTTCATGATGTTCCTGTCACTTCAGTTTTCCCAGTATTGTTCAGTGACTATTAAGAAGGTTACATATTCTAAAAAAGTGTATGTCGAACATTGTATAAAATTTTTAACAAAGATTACTTATTTATATGAAATATTTATCCAGCCAAAGATAGAATATTTATTAGCATTTTCGAATATTGTTTATTTGTTCCCATTTTCAGTGACTATATATTAAATTGTACCACCACCAACAGACCAACAACCAGCACAAGGAGAACAACGCCATCATGGGAGACAAGATGCAACAGCAGATTGACGCCGTCATCTTCAGTCAGGACCGTCTCAAGAAGCAGGTCGATGCCTTGCAGACCAAGGTCCAGGTGGGTGTAGATGAGGGCAGGTGGGTGTAGAGGAGGGCAGGTGGGTGTAGATGAGGGCAGGTGGGTGTAGATGAGGGCAGGTGGGTGTAGAGGAGGGCAGGTGGGTGTAGAGGAGGGCAGGTGGGTGTAGAGGAGGGCAGGTGGGTGTAGAGGAGGGCAGGTGGGTGTAGAGGAGGGCAGGTGGGTGTAGAGGAGGGCAGGTGGGTGTAGAGGAGGGCAGGTAGGTGTAGAGGAGGGCAGGTAGGTGTAGAGCATACTATATATGGCCACAACCCGTTCTCGCAAATTTAATAAGTCAATATTGACTTATTAAATATGTGCATAGGTGACATACTTAACATAATAGTTTCCCTTGAAAAGCTTCATAGAAAATCAAAATCAAAATGTTTATTTAGGTAAGGTACATACATAAAAGAGATTTTACAAAGAGTGATGGATTTATAGATAGAGCTAGTACATACAATGCCTAAAGCCACTATTACGCAAAGCGTTTCGGGCATGAAAAACTTAAATGACTAAAGCTTAATACTAATTGAGCATAAAGAGTAAAATGAAACCATGGAATGAAAACATAGATGAAAAAGCAGCACAAATACAATTCTGTCGACAAACAGCGCTCTTTAAAAAAAAAAAACAGACATTGGATGACATTAGAGGGGTAAGGTAGGTTACAGGGAATTTATTAGGTATAGCTTCGTTTTTATCTTAAACTGGTTGAGAGAGGTACAGTCTTTAACATGGTTGGGAAGGTCATTCCACAATCTGGGTCCCTTGATTTGTAGAGCATTTCTAGTTTAAGTCGTACTCTAGGAATATCAAAACTGTATTTATTACTGGTGTGGTGCTCATGGGTTCTGTTACAACCTTCTATGAAGCTTTTGAGGTCAGGATTGGCATTACAGTTTAGCGTTTTATATATGTAAAATACACATGAGAGAATGTGCAGTGACTTAATGTCTAACATATTCAGAGATTTGAGTAGGGGTACCGAGTGATGTCTGGGGCCAGAGTTGGATATTGTCCTAATAGCAGCTTTGTGTTGAGTAATTAGAGGGCGTAAATGATTTTGGGTAGTAGAACCCCAAGCACAAATACCATAGTTGAGATATGGATAGACGAGGGAGTAATAGAGAGTCACCAGGGCAGGGCGTGGTACATAATATCTGATCTTAGAAAGAATGCCAAAAGTTTTTGAAACTTTTTTTGATATGTTTAGAATGTGTCCCTGGAAATTCAGCTTGTGGTCAATGAGAATGCCAAGGAATTTGCCATCTAATTTGTTACAAATTTGGGTATTGTTTATTTTGAGATTTGATTAGAGGATTTATTGCCAAACAGAATATAGAAAGTTTTGTCAATGTTAAGGGTGAGTTTGTTGGCAGTTAGCCAAAGATGGACTTTATTTAGCTCAGCATTTACTGTGGCATTTAGAGCAAGGGGGTCAGGACTGGAGTAAATGAAGGTTGTGTCGTCAGCAAATAGAATTGGTTTGAGGTGTTGGGAGGCATTTGGAAGGTCATTAATGTAGATGAGAAAGAGGAGAGGGCCAAGTATGCTGCCCTGAGGAACACCAATGTTGATGGGTAGGGTGGGAGAAATTGAATTATTCACAGAAACATACTGGAGCCTGTCAGTAGGGTAGGATTTGAGGTATTGTAGGGAGTGTCCTCTGACTCCATAATGATTTAGTTTAAGAAGAAGGTTTTGGTGGTTGACAGTGTCAAAAGCTTTTCGCAGGTCCACAAATAACCCAACAGGGAACTCATTTTTATCAAGAGCTGTATGAATCGAGTTAAGCATACTAATAAGTGCATCGTTAGTGCTTTTTTTGGGTCTGAAGCCATATTGGCAAGGGCTAAGTATATTGTGTTTGGCTAGATAAGAGTAAAGCTGCTTATAGATTAGTTTTTCAAAATTTTTTGACAAGTTTGGGTCTGTAGTTGTTAACATCTGTGGGATCACCACATCAGAAAACACCGACCTTACCTAACCTACTTAGTATGTTAAGATAAGCATCTTATTGCTTCGTAATTACAATTATTACCTAACCTATACCTATAATAGGTTAAGTAACAATTGTAATTACGAAGCTATAAGATGCTTATTTTAACATACTAAGTAGGTTAGGTAAGGTCGGTGTTTTCTATGAAGCTTTTCAAGGGAAACTATTATGTTTAGTATGTCACCTATGCACGCAACTAATAAGTCAATATTGACTTATTAAATTTGCGAGAACGGGTTGATGGCCAGGACCTCACCACCTGTTTGATGGGGTACTGGGAGTTCTTCAACTCCCCAAGCCCGGCCCTGAGGCCAGTAAGTAATTATCAAAAGAAGGCACCAAGCCGGGATGGCTATGTAGCACCATCAAATGTCCGGGATATTCATTAGGCGCTAAATATCACTAAGATGCCAATATGAGAACAAAAGCGCATAAGGCAAACGATATCAAAGGTATCGGATTCACCAAGGATACTATCGAGGGACAAGTGACCGCGAGGGACGATCAAGAAGCAAGACACAGGCACATTCTGGAAGTCTGGACATTCAACAAGGATATGCACGTCCGTAAGAGGGACAATAAAGAGCAGGGGGAAGCTCCATTAAGTGTTCGTGAGTTAAGCGTGTATGGCCAATACCTAACCTCGCCAGAGCTGTTTCCCACCGCCGATTACGGTGGTAGGAGGAAGGCCACGGGGACACACTACCCTTAAGAGCACGCAGTTTATTACCAGTAACAGAAGACCAACAACCCTGCCAACGGGCAAGGATGGAGGAATGAATAACAGGATAAAAGTCGGAATATGGAATACCTTTACGGGAAATGGGACAGGTGCTGATAGCCTCCTTATTGGCAGTGTCCGTACACTCATTTAGGGACACACCAATATGGCTGGGAACCCAACAAAACTCCACTGTCTTAAATGCACTGGAGATATGAAACAGCCAATGTTGAATCTCGACGACCACCAGATGGGCTGGATTAGAGGACTACGGAGCCATGAGTGCACTGCGAGAGTCAACTACAACAAAGGAGGACTGACAGCGAGAAAGCAGTTGGCGAAGAGCATAGAGAACAGCATAAAGTTCTGCTGTGAAGATGCTAGTCTTCGAAGGCAGGCGACACCTAGATGTGGTCAGGAAAAAAACAGAGTAGCCTACACCGTCTGCAAACTTAGATCCATCGGTGATTACGGAAATGGAGCAGGAGTGTGAAGAAAAGTGTTCAGGGAAAATGGGTTTTAGAACTGTAGGAGGGGGTAAAAGCTTTGGTCCCGTGGGTCAGGGTTTTACAAAATTTAGGAAGGGGGACCCTCCACGGGGGCAAGAACGGAGCAACACGAGGAGAAATATTGGTAATACTAACCGAAAGAGAATTTTGTAGGCAAGACAACCGTACAGAAAAAGGGAGCTGGTAAAGGGGGAGCAGGGAACACAGGAGGGACAAAAGTCAAAGCACAACATAAGAATGACCTGCTTCCAAATAAAAGTCATAGTACAAGTTTTAGCTGTAGAGAACTTGAAGCCATGATTGGTGGCCCAAGACGACATGGCATCAATCGCAAGTTGAAGCCGCCATTAAAGGAAAGGTGAATCACTACCTCGACAGCAGAAGGTAAGATCATCGACATAGAGCGCTGAGAAGATGCCAGAAATAATGGAGGAAAGAAGACCATTGAGGGCAACCAGGAAAAAGAGTAGTGCTCAGAACACTACCTTGGGGTAGTGTTCTACCTTCTACACTACCTTCTACCTTCATATTGCCAAAAAGTGGCAGAGAGAGAGAGGGAGTGGTGCCAAGCCTCACTCTAATGGAATGACTAGAGAGGAAGCTTTGGAGGAAGAGAGGGAGATTACCACGAAGGCCAAAAGGGCGAAGTTGGGACAGAATATAGCATCTCCAGGTGGTGTCATACGCCTTTTCTAGGTCAAAAAGGACAACAACAACGGAGGTCTTGCAGCAAAAGCAGTAGAATATAGACCCCCAAGTTTACCAAGACATCAGTCGTGCTGCGGCACTTGCGAAAACTAAATTGAAAAGGGGGAGAGGTGGTGATAGTGTTCCAAAAACCACATCAGATAGACAGTGACCATACGTTCAAAGAGTTTGCAGACGCAACTCGTGAGGGCAATGGGGCAGAAGTCTTTAGGGAATATCTCTAGAGACCCTGGTTTCCTAATAGGGAGAACAACTGCATCGAGCCAGTCCTCAGGGGCTGACAACGACTCCCGATACGGTCTGTCAACGACTCCGATACGGTTATACAGATTAAGTAAATACTGAAATGTGCATGGAGGGAGGTGACGCAGCATCTCATAATGTCATCTGAGCCTGTTGTCGTAGAACCGCAGAGGGCCAGAGCAAACTGAAGTTCGGAGAGAAAAGGGATCATTATAGGGAAGTCTGAGATGGGTGCGGAAATCTAACAGATGAGATTCAAGAACGGGTATACGAAGAAGGAAGGATTGAGGAAGATGAGAACCGGAGCTAACAGCAGAAAAGTGGGAACCCAGTTTGGTCGCGACAGTCACTGGATCCGTCACATGAGTACCACGGAGGTGAAGGACTGGTGAGACATTGGGAAAACTTTACCCGCTATCTTGCAGATTTTCTTCCAGGTCTACGGCAGAGGAGTATCGGACATAATGGTGGAGACATAAGATTTCCAACTCTCATGTTTAGCCGTATGGATGGATCTACGGGCCACCACACTCGCCTTCCAAAACAAAATAAAAGAAGCAGCCGTCTGCCGGCATTACGTTCAGTTACAGCCTCGCTCCTGTGCCAGGTAAGTTCACTACGGGCTCACCATAGCCCGTGCTACTTGAAACTTTTTGTTCCCAGTAGCTGAATCTTAAACAATAACTGCCGGCATTAGTGTTTCTTCCAGGCTGCACGCTTACAGCAGACAGCCCGAACACAGTCTGCATTCCACCATGGAACGCACTTCCGCGTGCCCTGGGAGGTAGAGCAAGGAATAGAGCAGTGGGCTGAGTCG